TGCATCTTCTTTCTTTTTTTCTTCCTTTAATTTCTATGAAATGAAAAAATTGTAAGCGAAGTTGTAGAGCATAAACCAATTTTCAAATTAAAGAAAAATGGTTTATAAAAAAACCGAACCAAACCAAAATCTAGTAAAAAAAATCAAACCAAAATTAAACCAAACCGAATAAAAACTGAAAAAAATTAAACCGAACAAAACCAAACCAAATCAAAATTTCGATTTGATTTCGATTTTGACAAAAAAAATTGAACGGATTGAAACCGAACCCACCCCTACTTTCACATCTATCGGCCAGATTGTGACAAAAATACATTATTATTATTCCGTCCCCGCATGTCATCTTCTTATTATTGGACACATTGTCAAGTTCCTTCCTCTTCTCTCTCTCTTCTCCTCTCTGTCAAAGCAACGCCCCCTTCCTTCCTTAGATCCGTACGATCTGCGAGGTCCATCCATGGCTTCCAAACGGATCTTGAAGGAGCTCAAAGATCTCCAGAAGGACCCCCCGACCTCTTGCAGCGCAGGTATAATCCCCTTCTTCTTCGACCCCTCTTCTTATTTACCTTTTTTCTGTGTGGTTTTACCCTGTACTTTCGTTTTTTAACGTTCTCAGCCGATTTCGAAGCTCGATCTGTGAATTTTGAGCCTTTTTCTGATATGGGTTGTGTGTAATTGGCTTGTTTGGTTTTGTGTTTGTTGTAGCTGAAGTTACTTTTTGCAGAAAGAATTTTGGGTTTTGTGAAAATTATGTTTTGGATTGCATGTTCATGACCCTGCTACAGTGTTTGTGTTATTAAGGCAATGAAATATTGGATCTTTGGTAGGCACTTTTTTGTTTGGTTTTCTTCCAATGCAATTTTGCGATTGAACAATTTTTGAAAACTAGTGAATTTTAAGTGTTGTAGTGTGCTAACCGAAATTGACTTGAGTTATTCGGAAGTTTTGTTGTGTCAATGAAATAAAGGATCTTTTTTTCATCACAGGGTTGGAAGACATTTCGGATATGTAAAATCTTGTGATAGACAAAGTTGAAAACTTATGAATGTTCAGAATTGTAATGTGCTAACTGAAATTTGACTTGAGCTATGCGAATAGTGGTGTCAATGATTAGAGTTCATACTGTTATGGGGAGGGAATTTGCACCCGGTAGCGAATTTGTCATGGTTGATCACCATTGATCTTTTATTGAGTTGTTGCCTGATTGAGACTTAATCAAAGATACACACTTTTTTCAACAGGTTTTGTTTTTCTTTCTAATATTTACTGAACTGTGGAAGTAACAAGTTTCTAGTTGCTGAAGAAGGCATGCATTTAGTTGCTTGAACTTTGTGTGTTAAATTTATATGTAATATGCATTTTAAAAATGGTTTGCTATGAAACGATTATGAGGTTACTTGTGTTCGATGTCAGGGCCTGTTGCTGAGGACATGTTCCATTGGCAAGCAACGATAATGGGCCCTCCAGATAGTCCTTATGCAGGGGGTGTCTTTCTAGTTACCATTCATTTCCCTCCTGATTATCCATTCAAACCACCTAAGGTATGGAATTTTGATTTCTTTGTTAAAGTTGTTAATTTAGCTTCATAGCGATGGCATTATTGCCAACTGTTGTTTCTTCCCCATGCCCCCTTTTCCCTATCCCCTTGGTTTTGGTTTGGGGTGTGTTCATGCATTGTCAAGAGATCCAATAAATATTATGGTTTTTTAGTCAGAGTGTCAGAGAAATTGTACCGCATAATGTGATTCTTCCATGGTTGGAACTTACAATTAAGAGGTTGAAAATGTATGAACATTTTAAGAAAGTACCCATTTTTTTTAATCAGTTTGTCCTATATTGAATTGAATCCCAAATCCCCAATTCATTGTCTATGAGATTAGGGAACCAAATTTTATAAAAACTAGTGATATTTGGATGACAACACAGGACGAGGACATAGGCATGGTGACATTGAGAACAACCACTGGATCAGGTGGCGGTGTTTCAATAGTGTTTGGAGTTTTAGCGTGCGGTGGTATAGTTTAGTCATCCAACAACTTTTCAGTTTTTCCATCTATTTGATTCTGGCATGCGACAAAGTTGTTGCTCTTTGATAGGGAAGGGATTGTATTTTTGTTTTGGTAGGTGGTGATGATTAAGTCTTTGTCCAATTAACTCTTACTCCCTTGGATTTTCATTGACTTGTGTGATATTTGTCTTGTTAAACTACTTAACAGTAAAAGTATGTGTTGAAACATTCTTGATGCCTTAAATATATAGGGCCATGGGCCATGGCTTAGGGGCTCAAGTCAAACACTTAGGCCTATGTCTTATCCACCTCCCATTGCATCAGCATGTTCAATTCCGTGTATGACTTGGGGTTCGGCTGGTAATGGCCTGAGAAGATACGGTTGAACCTGGCGGGCTCATCAGATCTCAAATTGACCCTTTTCAGGGAAATGTCAATAGTATATCATGTTTTGAATTGTTGCCAATGCTTTGGCTGAAGACGAAACTCAATCTATTAATATTCTTTCACCAAATTGTTTTTGCAGGTTGCCTTTAGGACTAAGGTATTTCATCCCAATATCAACAGCAATGGAAGTATCTGCCTTGACATTTTGAAAGAGCAGTGGAGCCCTGCTCTCACCATATCTAAGGTTCTGATCTCTTCGTGACTTGTTATGATTTAATAATGTCATATGTTTCAATTTTTCCAGTCCAAGATACATGTGGGTTGGTGATTACCATGAATAACCCCACAAATTGCATATTTTCCATGCTGAAGTCCAGATGGCAGCGCGTCTGATTAAATGCTTTGTTCACAAATTACCTAATTTTAATCTTCACCATGTACGCCTCATCTGGATTTCCATCAAGGAGCATATGCCACTGGCTCTGCTCTCCATTGTTGCAGGAAACATTTCGAGAGTGGGTGCACTGTGGAAGGCTGTCATTTGTTAATACACGGTTCCTATGCACCCTTTTCACTGTTTGATATCTGCCAGTTTTTTAAGTGGGTGGGAAAGGTTCTTGTTTCCTATTTCAGGTATTGCTATCCATCTGTTCCCTGTTGACGGACCCAAACCCAGATGATCCCTTGGTGCCGGAAATTGCTCATATGTACAAGACAGACCGGTCAAAGTACGAGACAACCGCAAGGAGCTGGACCCAGAAGTATGCTATGGGCTAGCATGCTTTGTCGCGAGGGCATGTAGGACATCGGTTTGTATTCATTACCTTGTTATGTATAAAAGAAGCGTGGTTTCTACTTTTGTAATAGACATTGAAGAATGGTTCTACATGTTCACCCTGGCAAGTCATGACGATGTTTTAGGTGGTTTAATGGATATTTATCGTAACAACTATGAAATATCAGCAGTTAAATGTTCAATTTACCGTCTATATGTGAATACGTAAGTATTTTGTGACCTCCCCCGCGTGGATTTGATGCATGATGGTACATTAACCCTAATGCCTGCACTACTATGCTAGTCTCGCGGTAGTTGTATACGGCATCACTGTACCACTAGCATAAGGCCATATAGGTACCGTTTGGTACGCAAACGGGACGGAACAGAATGGAATGGGATAGGATGGGATGGGACGGAACGAATGTTCTGTGTTATGTTTGGTACTCGCAGGATGGAACGGAACGGTTGTTCTGTTCTACGTTTGGTAAGTGCATGATAGCACAGAATCAAACGATTAAATGACCAACTTACTCTCGTTCCGTTTGTTGTTTGGTGCAATGTTTATGTGTGGAACGGAATGAGACTTTTTTTTTTAACCATAAACGATACCATCCCATCATAATCCTAAGACTCTTAACCATAAAAGAGGCGGATCAGAGATCTGAGAATGTTACTTTAAAACTCCGCCGGCACCTTAGGGACGCCCTAGACCCGAACCCGAAGACCCAAAGATAATATAACGACATATACGTTGTCCTGTCAATTTGGATTCCTCTAGCTGGCATAAGTGCAGGATACTTAGCTATTAAGTTATTTAAAAAAAAATTGAATTCCTTTTTCTAAAGAGAGTTTTTATTTATGTTTTGAAACTTGAAGTAGCTAGGTGCGACAACTTTTCCACTCTTTGTTCAGAAAAGATTGCTTCCGAAAAAGCTTAATTTGAACATGGTTTGAAATAAGTGCTTCTAGATAAGCCAAAGATTTTGCATGAAACAACTTTGTGGTTTCTGCTACATGCTGAACACAAAAACACTTTTTTTACTCAGAGCTTTCTTCTTCCAAGCTAAAACATCATTTTCACTTGTACATTCCCCTGCTTTTCATGTAAATGGAAGTGTTTCTGACGGATTATCTCCAAATCTGACATAACAAAACCCCCAAATGTACACACTTTCAAGTTTGAAATTAAATTGAAAGGAAATACATGAAATTAGATAAGAAAAAACAATAGCAACTTATATGACACTAAGTACACAGTCACGTAGACATTTTATGTCAATAATATAAAGATATGTGTACGTTTTTTTCATCATATGTGCTTGTTATGGCATTAGACGCCATATGGCGATGTAGCCTATTTAAATTGTTATCCTAAGAAAGAGATTTTCTAGGCTGTCGTGAATCTTTGACTCATAGATTTTTGTTACACATCTAACACTTCATTCAAGTGGTACATACTATCTAATGAAATATAAAAGAATTTTAGGGAAATATTATTCCATGCTACATGGTATGGAATAATACAAGCATTTCATGACGTGAATTGGTTTAGATGATGTGGTCAGCGTGAATTCAAGTCATCCAACGCTCTACTTAGTATGAAAGTTGGACCCAAATTTGAGAGAAATAATGTTCTTTTAACCAATAAAAAAATAATTTGCACTAATTAGTCTTAGACGTTGACCACCACTTGCTTTTATGGTGGAAGGAAATTTCTTGGCAATCCACTCGTTGCTTTAGAGGGAGGAAGGAAATTGGAGGGAGCTAACTTTGGTGATGTGAGCAATTGATGAATGGTGACAAGTTGGAAAGCAACAAATGAGAGCAGAGAAGAGAAAGTCCTTGCGGTTTCCTTGCCACCAATTCCCAAGCCATGATATGATACACGATACCCCCTAATTTGTCTTACATGCTTTTAGGAAATCGTTATTAGAACATCTTCGAATGAGATGTCAAATTTTAAATATAAAATTTGAATTTGACGATTTATGTTTTGATATCTTTAAAAAGTTTACTCTTCATCTGTATGTCAAATTAAATATTATTTTATTACACTATTTTCTTTTCTTTTTATTTTTTTAATAGGATTCCACAGCCCCTCCAGGCTCCAGCTCCGTCTACTTGTCCTCCAACTCATCAACTTCCGCCAACTGGTTCCCCTCCAGCCAATTAATCGCGTCGTCCACCGCCTTCTCGATCTTCTCCTTGTCCGCCGGATCCAATTTCCCGGCAAATTTATCATCCCTCACGGTGTTCCTCATGTTGTACGCATAATTCTCCAACGCATTCTTTGCTTCCACCTTCTTCTTCACCTCCTCGTCCTCCGCCCTGCCCTTCTCCGGATCCTGTACCATCTTCTCTGTCTCCTCCTTGCTCAGCCCCCGCCGTCTTATCCTCCGCCGACACGTTCAATATCCCATTCGCATCAATGTCGAAACAGACATTGATCTGAGGCACGTCTCTGGGAGCAGGAGGGATTCCGGTGAGCTCGAATTTCCCCAACAAATTATTATCCTTCGTCCTCAATCAAACTCCCAGCTGATTATCCGAATAAGTCCAGAAAATCTGCTCTTCCTTCTTCCTCGGAATCAGCACCGTCATAACACCGCCGGCGCTTCTCAGGTTCTAATGAGAGAGGAGAGTTGCAAATCTGATAAAAACAATTAATAAAATAACATTTAAAATTTAATTAAAAAAATATTTGAAACTGCTGTCAAATTTGACAAGGGGAGAGCTGCTATTCCATGTTATACCATATCAAATTTGGCTTCTTGGTTGGAAAACATTGCAGTTGTCTTTTTTTACTGTTATTACTGATTTGGACATTTTGACATCTCTTTTGGAGATGGTCTTAGCAGTATAAAATTTCTCATTTTGTATTTTAATTTTTTTTATAATTAAAAAAAAAAAATAGGAATTTTAACGAAAAGCTCACGGTACTGTTCACTTTAACGAAAAATCACACTTTTACACTAAAAAGTCAATCCTGGTACTATTCACTTTACCCTTTATTTTGTCTTTATCGTTAAAACTCAACGTTTTCAAGCATTTTTCATTAGTTTTCCTAAAAATATACTTATGAGGAGTGTATGATGAGATTTTTAGAGTGCTAATAACCATACTTGGAAGAGATCCCTATTTTTTTTTTTAGAAAATGGTAATTAGTTGTAAGACTTACTCCAAATCGAACTTCAATGATCTGAATCGTCTATTTTCTACTTCTCGATTGGTAGACCATTCTTGAGAAAAATTTAATTCAATATGGAACCATTTTCCTATTTAATTATTACGATGAAAATTTCATTGTTTTTTATAGAACAAAGTAGTCGTCAATTTCTTTGAACTCAATTAAATGTCAGAAATATTTTTGATTTGGCTAATATTTTGTAAGAATGATCTATAAGGTGCAACTTGAAAAATAGACAATTCGAATAGTTGAAGTTCGATGTGATGTGTGGACTTCACAACTAATTCTCATTTATGCCACTTAGTAGTACGGTCTAATGGTATTCCTCTTCACTTATAAGTAAGAGGTTTTAGGTTCAATTTTCGCCAAAGGCGAATTTGAACCACATTATTGCAAGCCCATTGTAAGGCTAAACGCTCCCTCCTCAGTATAGATAATATCGTTTGTTGAAATAAAATATTCTTATTTTTTAAAAATGGGATCCTTCCCTTAAAGACCTCTGCTAAAAACAGTTCCCTATTTTTACTAGAATTATGTAATTTTCCCTTATGTTTTCCTTATACATAAATTTCAGCATTAAATATAGTGGTCTTTGGTTAGTCAACAGCCCAAAAAGAAAAATCCAAAATTTGAGTGGCAGAAAATAAAAATGATATATAAGGTAATGGTTGACGACATCGGATAGCTACTAGACAAATATGTTGTTTTTGGGAACTGGTAACTTGGAGCGCAAGCACCAACAAGGCCCATTATATTTATTTGACTTTTTTTTTTCAGTTAATTATATTGCCGCAAGATAAATTAATATTTTGTGCGACACTTAATTTTCACTTGATTGGAGAAGTATTATGTTTAGCTGACACGAAATACGTTTTATTATAACTTATGGTGGGTGGCAAATAAATCGTTATATAAGTACTTTGTAAATATTTATAAATAAATATAAAAATTCATAAAAATAAATATTGAGGCATTTGACTTGATTAATACAATAGAAGGAAAGTAGAACACTAGAAACTTGGTCCCCAAGCAAAAATAACTATGGGTTGCACAAAATACTTACCAAGAGATATCAAATAATCTCAAGTTCTCCCAAAGAAAAAATATTTGTTATTTTCACATGTTTAACGTGATTTTATTGGTCAAATTCTTATGTATCCGTTATATTACACAAATTATTTGATATGACAGTCACACAATTATGTAATGTTATTAATTATACACTCAATTCGTAACACTGCAACATGTGCAGCGGTATCCAAGAAATTACACAAATATATAAACAAAAAATACTCCAAAATAATGAACCCTAAATTGGGCAATTTGACAAAGAGTTCTGAATGAAGGAATAAGATCCTCTCCGGATCCTCTTTGTAGGGATCCGGATGATCAATCAATCGTGTCTGTTCATTGTATATCGTGCGGTTAAAAATTATTTTTTAAAATTAAATATAAATAGTATTTAACGAAAACTGATTGTCCGATGTATAATGAACAGACACGATTGATTGATTATTCGGATCCCTACAAAGAGGATCCGGAGAGGATTCCGGTCTCTGAAAGAAAACCTTCGTATTAGGGAGGAAATTCAACATGACTTTAATAACCCCATAAACAAATCTTAAATTTGAACTGGTAAGACAAAAACATTCTTAATACTTATCAAACAAATATACCATAATTAATGGAAAAACACGAAAATGTTGGAGACTGCTAAGATCCTCCTATAAGTACGCGATCCTCGGTAATTTTGACTCCTCCTCCTCCTCCTCTGCTCTCTCTCTGCTCTTCCTCCTCACTCTCTCTCTCTAAATTCTCTCTCTAAAGACTCTCTTATTTATTCCAGGCTTTTACTTTCTCTTAGTGCGTTTCATTTTCCTCCGCCATTAACAATTGCACTCCAAATTTCCCTTCTGCTTCTTCCCACCATTTCATCATCTCAGTATTTTGTCGTTTAGCCTGTAAGCTACAGCCATGGATCGAGCCAAGCAGTACACGCAGCGTCGCACGGTCAAAAACAAGCTTGTCAAAAAGCTCACCACCCGCTTCCGGGAGTCTACTGCCGGAGCCCCCCAAATCGTAAGGATTTCCGTCACCGACGACAACGCCACCGACTCCTCCAGCGACGAAGCCGAAGCCGAGCCGGGCCGGAAATACCGGGTCCTTGTGAAGCGCGTCATCAACGAGGTCAGAATCGAAGACCCGTCTCCTTCTCCGGCGCTCGTCTCAAAACCAACTAAGCCTTCTAGGTGCAGAGCGGCGGAGGAGAGTAACGAAATTTCGCCCAACGGAAAGAAATACCGAGGCGTACGGCAGAGGCCGTGGGGGAAATGGGCGGCGGAGATCCGAGACCCAAAACGTGGGGTCCGGGTCTGGCTCGGAACTTTCGAGACGGCGGAGGAGGCCGGTATGGCTTACGATAAGGCTGCCATTGCGTTTAAGGGACCTCTGGCTTTGACCAATTTCCTCAAGCCTCCCGAAATTGCCATTCCGGACATCTCGGAAGAGGACTGCAACCCAATTTCTCAGTCTCCGCTCATCTCGCAGTGCGGCCACAGCGTCCGGTCGCCAACCTCTGTTCTCAGTGGCCGAGAACCCGAAATCGAATGGAAAGTTTCGGAGAGACAAAATTTCGGGGTTTTTGATACGGAGTTTTGGTTGAATGATTGTTTTGAACCGCCGATATTTTTCGAGGAGATGAGTGTCTTACCCGAAACGCTTCTGAAAAATGAGGATTTCTCCGACTTATCGCTTGATTTCCGGTCGTGTAATTGGGATGACGTGGAGGATTACTTTCAAGATGCTTATGAGTTGAAACGATGACTTTCAAAAGTGTGGTCTTTTGATTTTGAATAAAGATTTTGAGTCCCAAAGAGTTGTTTGGAGGTTGTGATTTAGTGATTAGTTTATATAAAATTAATCTAAATTGTTATTATTATTATTATTATTATTATTATTATGACTGTAAATTATGGGACGTATGTATCTTGATTTTTCATTGCTTAACTTAATTTCTTTATTGATTTAAATTTGCAATCCGTTATTTAAAAATGTCTGTATTTAACTGTCTTCAAACTTATTACATTTAACAATTAAAGCGTATTACGTTTAACAATTAAAACGCAGGAGTAGTTTCATACTTACGGTTATGCGTTTAGGTATTTCAAATTTAAAATATCTACAGTGTACAACTTGTTTCATGCTTCGAAATTAAATTTGTTGTAATTTTGAATTAAAGCGTTTCATACCTACCAATTAAGACAGTCAAAGTTCTCGTCACATAAATGTTTGGATTTACAACTCGTCTCATACCTAACTTTAACCGCTAAAATAACTCAAATTCAACACAAGAGTATCTAAATCTTGTGTGATTTGTTCTAAAAACAACAACAATTTGGAGTAAAAGTGATATGAGAGTGATTCAAGTCATTGACCCAAATGGGGTTCTCTGTCTCAGTCAGTGTCTCTGGAAGACAACACGAAAGAGCGAAGAGACTGTAAAAATCAATGGTGAAGTGCGACCAATGTTCTTGCTCCAAAACCAAAACGTAGAAATTAACTATTATTTAATACTGATTTAGTGCTAGAAATCTTGGAAGGGGTGAAAATAAATATATAGGGGCCTTTGCTTTTTCAGAAATTCCCAGACAATGTCAGCCTGCTTCTTCTGCTGAAATCCCCGGCACGGTTCTTGAATCTCCGGCCAACTGAAGGAAGCTAGCTGCACAAAAACCACGGATTTGCATTCCCTGGTAAATTTAAACGTTAAATTAAGAGAAGACCTTTCCACTGTTGTGTTGATACTGCATGCAGTGTGTCGTGGAACACGAGGTTTCAAAGTTCATGTCAAATCTCAGACCCACAGATTTGCACCTTGCAAGTTGCAAATCCCATCTTCTTCTGTGACTAATGACTAGACTATGTATCTCTCAAATTCTGGTGACTAGATTAGATCTTCTTGCAAACATGTATTTAATTTGGGTCCCCTACCCAGCGCTCTCTGTACTGTTTTTGCCAGAGAGAAATAATCATTAGATCTCAATTCTCAACTTCTATGTTAAAAACTTTTTAGCCAAAACGATTTTTGAGATCAGTTCACTCTTTACATTATTATCTTAGATTTACAATAATATAAGTGGTTCATGATATAGTACACCATTAGTCATTTTGATCATTTGTGAAAAATATCTGTTAAATTGAAGAAATCACTTGTTCAAGTGGAGGAGTTGATCTAATAAAACCATCCTCGATCTAACGAAGACTTTTCACGAAACATCAAAATAATTGATGGTAAACAATCTAATGGAC